CATTTATGTTCATTTATTGGTCTGTTGTCATTCACTTTTCTTTTATTCATATTTCCTTTTCATTCATCMTTTTATTCTCACATTTCATTCCATTTGTTTCAGTTTTACTTCTCATTTATGTTCATTTACTGGCCTGTTCTCATTCACTTTTCTTTCATTCACATTTCCCTTTCATTGATCATTTTATTTTCATATTTCATTCCAGATAATTAATCTCATTTATTTTTATTTTTCCTTCTTAGTGTTGAGTGCTATGATTTCAAGGCTGAAAGGTGGTACCCAGTAGCGGAGATGAATTCACGTCGCTGTCGAGCTGGTGTAGCAGTACTTGACAACCTTATCTATGCYGTYGGTGGGTTTAATGGATCGTTACGTGTCCGCACTGTAGACTGTTACGATCCTGTGAAAGACCAGTGGCGTCCYGCCGCTTCWATGGATGCACGTCGGAGYACATTAGGTGCTGCTGTTCTAAATGGCTTACTCTACGCTGTTGGAGGCTTTGATGGAACAACTGGTTTAAACACATGCGAAGTCTATGATCCCAAGTTAAATGAATGGCGGCCAATCAAACCAATGAGCACGCGACGTAGTAGTGTAGGCGTCGGTGTTCTCAATGGTTTGCTTTATGCAGTGGGTGGGTAYGACGGTGCGTCAAGACACTGCCTCAGTTCTGTTGAGTGCTACAATCCCAAYACTGGTGACTGGACTATAGTAAGTGATATGAGTACAAGAAGAAGTGGAGCAGGCGTAGGAATTGCTGAAGGCCTTCTATTTGCAATTGGAGGTCACGATGGGCCGCATGTACGCAAGAGYGTWGAGTGYTATATCTCTGATTTAAACATGTGGAAGCCAGTCTCTGAGATGAGCATGTGTCGAAGAAATGCGGGTGTYGCATCTGTTAATGGATTGTTATTTGTTGTTGGTGGTGATGATGGCTCTACGAACTTAGCATCAGTGGAGGTTTATAATCCTCGTACCGAYCAGTGGGGACTTCTATCGTCCTGTATGAGTATTGGTCGGAGTTATGCAGGTGTTTCCGTGATCGATCGACCTAACTCCAAATGATGGCTGTAATATGACGCGATATATTATATTATACTATATGAGTTAATACTAAAGGTTACATGGTAGAAACTTTAGATAAGAAATACAAACTAATTGAATAACCTCATCTTGTACTSGACAACACATCAAGAAAAGGAAGGAAAAAATAAATGCATGTTATAAAGAAAAACTGCAATGTTTATACTACTGTTGAAATAATCCAGTTTCGAGTTCTCCAATGCTGTGTTAGCCTCATTTGTGTGTCAAATATTCCTAATTGTGAGAATAAAAGTGTGAGATTTCATTAGTGATTATATAAATTCTAATCTATTGTCTTTCTTTCAAATTCCTTGCGTTTTCTCGGCCTATCAATGAAACAACAGAATATGTTACTTGGTTTTTAGGCTAACACAGAGCAAACCAGAACTCGAAATTGGATTATTGAGAAACAAACTTGTAAAAACATCTGTATGACTTATTTTGTGTTAGAAATTATGTAATTTGTAAAAAGAATTTAAAATAAATTATGAAATCAAGAATGAAAACWTGGGTGGATCTTTTCTCAATCAAACTCACTTTATTCATTGATACCAGACAGCAAAACAAATTCAAAACTGCCAAGGTGACTTCCTTGAGCAATTTCTCCCTTTACTAGTACCTTATCCATGGACAGARGAAGAAATGAAAACTCTGTTGAGCGGATACCTTGACTATGACACAAGACTACAATAAATATATGCCTTCACTCTACATACTGGATAAACTGATAAACCAACACACTAAATTCTCACAAGACTAAAGGATGTCCCCTCATATATGTACTTTATCAGCAAAAAGATAAGCATAGATATATGCTGAGGTGTACAAACCCATGAAAACCTGTAGGACTTATCTTGCTTCTGCATCCAATGTAAGAAATAGACCTCAATTGTGCTTATATCAAGTGAAAACATGCATATTGACATGTTATACTTGTTTTGTCATGAAGCAGGGTTCACTGAAGCTGTATGTTTCTATGAGGCAGAAAGCACCAAAATTAAAAGGAAACTTTWTAGTATTTGTAGTTTTATAATACTGCAATAGCTAGCAGCAGGGATATATTATAAATATATATAGTCTGTGGCAGCTATTTCAATATCAAGCAGTTTTATCTTTGGGAATCGATGTGTGTTTTAGTCTACTTTCGGTGTGATAACATTTCTCTAATATTATCTTCTTGATCCTTGACAGACTTTTGTAGATAATCTTTGTTAGCCTGAAACAAAACAAAAAAACTTTACCAAACTGGGCTCCATGTGTAATGATTGGGCTTCCTGTGTACTTACTACACAGGAACCCCTAGTAATTAACACACTGATTAGCACACGCAAATATATATATACAATCAGCAATTTACAGCTGTCAATCAATCCTTTGGTCTGCTAATGARTTGACAATATGACATTTGTCTTGGCTGGTTGTGTCACAATGTWCATGGCAGGTTAGCTTACCTGAATCTGTTCAATTTTTCCTTCATTTGTTTTTATTCTTTCTGCTATTGTACTTCTTACATCAGAAATAGGTTGGAGTACAAACCTGTGATGCACACATCAATATATCAGTACAAAAAACCTTTGTTTTTTGATGACAGTCATTGTTAAGCAAGTGACTTTCTTACTGTAACCACACTGCATTTWACACACTGCTATAGCTMAGG